CAACTAAGGTCAGCGGATATATTGTGAGACCAAACAGGCGCACAAATTAGAGGTCCTTTTCGAGAAAAACGGCCAGGTTAGTTTTGTCAGCGATACCAGATTTGCTATGGAGACAGGAGTAAATAGTGGTGTCATCTGCATAGATACATATTTGGGAACTGATGACATCGGAAAGATCGTTAATAAAGACCAGAAACAGTGTAGGATCCAGGATAGAGCCTTGGGGAACACCTGCGTTCATGAGAAAGAAAATGGAGGAAAATCCATTAAGTACGACCTTCATTACACGGTCTGACAGGAATTATTGTATTAAATCAAATAATCGTCGTGAAATGCGGTATCCCTGAAGCTTACAAAGAAGGCCAGTATGACAAACCCTATCAAACCCTTTAGAGATATCTGGAGCCACAGCTCGAGCTTCTCCGTGAAGTGCTTTGTAAACAAATTCAGTTATGGCTGTGAGCACATCATCGTTAGATAGGGCAAAGCGGAAATCATATTGCTTGTCAGGGAGCAGATCATGGGATGTAAATTGCTTAACCACTTCGGCGTTGATTAAATCTTATATATATATATATATATATATATATATATATATATATATATATATATATAATCAAGGATAGATAATGAAACTGGCGACCATATTATCGTAGGATGTCCGGAACTCGCAAACAATGAATATACCCACAGGTAGTGACATATGTGCACTGGAACATATATATATATATATATATATATATATATATATATATATATATATATATATATATGTATATTTAGGCAGCAATCCTTCTTTCGTGCACATTTCATTGAATACGACAGACAAGGTACTTTTATTTAGTTTTTTATGCAATTTCTCACGTGATCTAATACTTTTTCTTTTCAGATTTATATAAACAATATCCAAATGTTCTTTTTATCCGAGCGCTTTCGGATATACATTTAGTCATTTTCAAGGATGAAATATTTTAACTGTTAAATAATAAATAGTTCTTCGCATGTATGTATTTATATAATGTTTTCATTTTTCAAAACATAGTCAAGATATTGTATCCATGTTCATAGTTGATATTATTAAGCATTGTTTTTTTTTGCTTTTATTAAAAAGGCTTCCATTATTTTTAGCCTTTTTTGCATGTAGATGATGCTATTATATTTGTGTTGTCAACAATTATGTTACGAGTAGTGTCCGGTAGGTCTCCATGAATATTTAAATGAGATCTAATTGAGCTATTGTATACATTTAAATACTTCTAAATACAAACATATATAATTTAAGTGCAAATATAGGCATCTAATATGTAGTTTTAGAAATAACACAAATGTACATACAAATATCAATGCCATATTCACATATACAAATATAGTATATACATCCACATTTACGTTAAATATACATAGGCATTTACAATGTCCCTCTCTTTCTATATATATATATATATATATATATATATATATATATATATATATATATATATATATATATATATATATATATGTGTGTGTGTGTGTGTGTGTGTGTGTTTGGGTGTGTGATTGTGTATGCGTGTGTGAGTCGAAGCAATAGAATTGAAATTATATTGAATATAAAAATGATAAATAGATTGTTAACCTTTGAACTCCTAGGATGAACTTCCTTTCTAATCTCTCGTATTGTTTTCGCAGCTGTTGGATAATCTCCAAAATTTTAAGACTCTTCGAATGATTTTGAATATCTTTCCACTCGGATAATGAAAGTGATTTAGATATTATTCTTCGCAGCTGTTTGTTTTTCGATAGAGCAATGTATATTCAGAATGTGGAAAACACCTGAAAACTTTAAGAGATAAACAAGACAGGGGTTGAAAAGGTGAAGAATATTGGCTATGGACGGCAATGGAAAACAAGGAAGGTTGGTAAGCAATATAGAGAAGAGGAAGAAAGAGAAAGAGACCACTACGGTAAAAAGTACTGAGTCGACAAAATATATTATAACCTTCTGGCATCAGTTTAAACGGATGCCTTTTTTTCTGGGTATCTCTAAACCAGATTTCTCAACCGGTGTGCCCCGGAACCGGGGAGTTCCGCAAGTAGTCGCTAGGGGTTGAGAAAACCTAAACTCGACTTCGTAAGTATGGCTGCTGAAAATACGTCCTAACGATATCGTTGGAAAGTGAAAAGAGTTCAGTCGTCAGTAAACTGGAGAAGGTTACATATTATTACCGCGTGGTTCACATCTTGTAGCGAAGAGGAGAAAGAGGAAGATTCTCCTTTTCCGGAAGTGGAGTCATAACCTTTTCCGGTTTTTTTATAACTTGCGTGATGGGAAAATATTTTTTTTTATTCGTTCTTATTATTTTATTTTTTAGTTTTATTTCATCTTCTCCAAAATTAAGTTTCCACAAGACGTCGCTAGGGGTTCCGCGAGAAACAGCGATAAATAGGATAATTCATTTTTAGTAATCTTTATTTCATTTTATATTCGTAATTTTACTATAAAAGTATTATAATAAAGGCTTCAACCTCTTATATTATTTAAAATTATAATAACCATACGGAATATATTTAGCGATGTCTGGATAGCGTCAGTGTGAAACCGCCTTCACTTATTAGTGGACGGGACCTGTACATACCGGATTCGTGTGTTATTGAGAAACTCACTCGCATAGAGGGCGCATGCGCGGTGTCCATATATTATGGTGATTTTTCTACGCGTAGCTTAGATGTGGCACAAGGCTGAACGTATGGGGCACCCAGTGATGATCGTACATACTATTCAGTCATAAATGATCTAGCGAGACAAGCTTGCTAGCCATTATACCACATCGAAGTATCTATATATTATGTTTACTACGTGAACTACGATAAAAATATGAAAGAGATAGATATTAATAATGCTATATATTATATTTTATATATATATGGGTTATCGGAGACATGAAAATTATTTCAAGTGTTCCATTAAGGTTTAAAAGGTTGTGATACGCTGATGTAAGCTATAGTTATAAAGTATACTTTTTGAAAGTAAAAATTTTCCTGTGGAAATGTTTAAAGTTTTAGTCTGAAATCAAGAAAATATAAACTTTTAGACAAAAGGGCGCACTATGTGTAAAAATCACGGAATTAGTTTAAACTAACACTGGAAGATATTGATTAAGGAAAACATCGGCTTCTACTCCAAATAAATATCATAATTTCACAGTAAAAGATACAAATATTCGAAGAACGTTTTGTATAATCCTGGCGCCAGTCTAAACTGACACATTCTTTTTTTTCACCTTATATATAAACTATAAGTATAGACTATAATTTTCCAAAGTGAATACTGGAAAATGTATGTGCTTTTTTTAAAAATAAATATTTTGATGGTAATTGCTCTGACTAGCTCTGAAATTGACAGCAAAGTCTCATCATTTTACAGTTGAAATGGTTAGATGCAACTGTAAGTTTTATGCTAACAGTTACTTCGCTCGGAATTCTCGTTTGCGGAACTCTCGTCTGACATCTTACTTTACAGTCAACGTTGATAAAAAATGTAAATAGGATGTCAATCGTTATCAGTCTTCTTAATTCCTGTTCTTTTATTGTTCTCGCTCCTTAATAATGTTTCCTTTTTCTTTTTCACATATTCTTTCACACTCGTTAACCCCTGGCATCTTAGTGGCTTTATTGCCTTGCTTGGGGTTGAAATGTTTTCGAATGGAATCTACAAAATACGAACTCTAAGCAAAATGATCGCAATGTATGGAGAAAAGTAGACGTCAGTTTAAACTGACACCATGAGGATATTGGAGATTATTTTGTGTTTTAAAATAATGGAAATGAATATAAATGGACCGTAATGTCCATAAATTTTCAACCCTGCGAACTGTTCCCAATGTCCTCTTCGGAAATACAATATACCAAATTTAAAAACGAATTTTACTTAAAGTGGCAAAGACACCGAGAAAGGCAGATGAAAATTGAGAATTAATATCCACTTGGTTTTTTGAAGGATCTATTTGTTAATAATAATTGTGGCTACTATTTGGTTACTGTTACTCATTTTTTTGTAATAGTGAAAGTGTTGTAGCATACCTACGGACGATATTGGGTATGTCCTTATTCACATAAATACAGTAGCAAATACTGTATGTTGATCTGCAGTTGGAGATTCGTCTCCAGCTGTGCTGGTCAAAGATCTGCCTCTGGGCAGAGAGGATCCCCAGATGAGGCTATGTCGATGGGCAGAGTTTCGTCTCGGGAAACAGCTACCCGAGCTCGTTTTATACGGGCTCTACGGGCAATTTTTGGCCGACCCTACGGGTGCGGATACCTCACATTAAATTCGGCTTTGTGCTACATCTGACCGCATAGAGCGGTTGGTTGATATCCTGCAGTTGGACATTCGTCTCCAGCTGTGCTGGTCAAACTCTCTGTCTCTGGGGAGAGTGGATCCCCAGACGAGGCTATGTCGAAGGGCAGAGTTTCGTCTCAGGAAACAGCTACCCGACTCCGTTTTATACTGAGTCTACGGGGAATTTTCGTTCTATCTTACGGGCTCGGATACCCCACATTAAATTCGGCCTTGTGCCACATCTGATCGCGTGGGTTGGTTGGTTGAAATCCTGCAGTTGGAGATTCATTGTGGAATTTACTTTACTCCCTTGTAGCAGTCAACCACTTCTCCGCGCTGCTGTCGAATGTTATATGTGTTTTTCATTATTATTATCGTTCATTACCAACCTTCGTGTGATTATTCTATTCAGAAACCTCCCCTAGGTTACAACAATAAAATTGATTTTGAAGAATGTTTATGATGGTGTTGGCAGCAATGAAAGAAAAACTGTGATGGATTTGCTCGTTGGGGTTAAAAATTGATGTGAAATAAAGGATGCTCAATTAATGGCGTTTTGGATTAAATGTAACATCAGTGACGCGGAAAAGAAGAATTGGATGTACACGCTTTAGAATGACATTCATTGAAGCTGAAGAAAATAAAAGATAAGAAGGCCTTTTAAGAAGAAAACGTGTAATGGTTAGAAGAATAAGGGTACAGCTTCCTTTTTTTTGTCTTCAGGGAAAAATAAAGAGAGACATTTAAATGAAGGTTGAAGGAAGTGGTATGGGAATATATTGGTCGTACCTGAATGGTTAGGAAAATGAATGGCTTGAATTATGATTTGAGAATTATAGAAAGAAAGAAAGAAAGAAATAGAGAGATGGCTTTGAAGATAACAAGAGAGGAATGAGAAAAAAACGCAAAGAAAACATTTCAGTTAATGATAGAAAGAAAGAATGAGTGAGAAATGAAGGAAAGGAAGGTAAGGGAAAAATAAGAAGGAAAAGGTTAATAATAAACAGATGAAATTAACTAACTGGATAAAAAAAATAGGAAAGATGTTGAAGGAAAATGATGCAACTAAACTGTATAAACAAAGAAATAAGAAAGGTGTTGAAAGAAAAGAAGGAAATAAATAAAGAAGGAAGAAAAGAAAGAAGAAAGATATAAAACAGTTAAACAAAGAAATAAGAGAGACGTAGAAAGGAAAGAAGAAAGAAAGAACGAAAGAAAGATCGAAATAATTAAATAAACAAAGAAATAAGGAAGGTATCGAAAGAAAAGAACAAAAAACAATACAATAACTAAATAAACGCGCAGATAAGAAAGAAAGAAAGATTGAATGAATGAATGAGTAAAACATTACAATAAATAAAGAAATATGAGATACATCAAACTAAAGGAACAAAAGAAAAATGAAAAATGAAATAAACAAGCAAAAAATAGGAGTTATTGAAAGAAAAGAATAAAAAGAATAATTTTTTTTTTAAATAAACACACGAATAGGAGAAAGAAAGAAATTGTTTACAGTTTTTTCGATGGATTCGTTTTCTATGGCTTATCAACCCACCGCAGGTTATTTAAAGCCAGAAAATATATTTCGATTGTAAGAATTTTTTTTGGTGGTGGGGATAATGATTTAGTGATACAAGTCTTACTAATTAAAGTAATATAGCTGGTGGGGGAAAGAGGTGGTTTCATGCCTTTCCCAGGGGTATATAGGCGTAAGTGAACATAACTAACCCAATTGGAATTGGAACTCGCCACTCCGATTAACAATTCTATTAGTCCACCCGCACATCCAAGTATACAGCACCTAGTATTCCCAAGCAGTGCCCCAGCTAGGTACTGACCAGGAATATTAGGAAAACAGGATCTCAGGCGAAAAAAAAAATATTATTAAAATTAAAATCAATCAGAATTCATCGGGCGAGGGACATACTTCAAATTGATCTTTCACCATAGCCATCAGCTATGGACATTTGTTTTCATTTAGTTTCCCATCTCGCCATGATCATAACTTTTACCGTTTATTTATCAGGCATTGGAAATATCTCCCGGTCGTATTCCCGAGGATTTCGAATTCAAAATTTTTCTTATTTTAGACTGATTGGCACATAGGCATAGAGAGCACAATCTACCCTATCATTTAGCCTATAGCTGGTGTCGGGCGCGAGAGACCGATTCATGCCGAATGAACGCAACAGACTATGAAATTTGAACCCGGCTCGCTACCACCACTTCCCGCCAATATCCTTTACACTAGCCACACTTTACAGTTTGAAAAAGAGTATCATGATAATAATAATCACAATGATGACTATAATATTTAGGGTAGGTGTCAGATTTGGTTATTGCAAAAAAGAATGCTCAATGCACCAAATATTGTATATACAGGTTACGTAAATTAATGAAGGACATTGGAGGAAAAAACAACCGCATTTTCCAAACAGCTAAATTTATAGATACACAGATGCAAAATGACATGTTTATTCGGTGAAACTTTCTTCACCGGCAATGGCGACTTGGGACCAGAATCGTTGACACATGGTCTGTATTGATATTGGGCAATATTCGGATAATGAAGGTTTTCGGGAAACCAGTCGTATTATGGGAACAGTGACCAGTCTTCCTTTCAACAACGCCCCACATATAATAGTCAAGTAGATTTATGTCTGGAGAGTAATCTGATATGGTCGGACAATTTTGGGTCACCTCAGTTTCGTGAACATGTACAGTGTCCTGCTAGTGCACATACTGCTTTTCATCATATCAAGGTCTGTCTAGGACTTCACAATAATTGTGTGTGTCTATGTGTGTGTGTGTGTGTGCATGTGTGTATGTGCATGTGTGTGGTGGTGCTCAAACTTTCAGGCATCACCGTATATATATATATATATATATATATATATATATATATATATATATATATATAAAAAACGCAGATTGTGTGTGTGTGTGTGTGTGTGTGTCTGTAACGTTTATATATTGGATCGGATTTCCTACATTTTTTAGCCGATTTCAACAAAACTTCACAGGACTACATAAAATTACCTTGTGGTGGTTCTAACGGCGCCGAAAATGGGAAAAACAATGGTTTTTAAGAAAATCAATTTGAAAAACACGATTAAGACACATCGTGAGAATGAAAGGGGACAACTCAGATCGGGTTAAAAAAAAAAACAGGTTGTTTGTGTGTGTGTGTGTGTGTCCTTTATATATGGGATCGGATTTCTTACATTTTCAGCCGATAAAACAAACATCCACTTTCTTTTTGGCAGGTAGTGTTTCTTATTGTCTTGCACACTTTTTTCTTTATTTATACATTCAGAATGCTTTAAAAATTCAATTTACAAGACAATTGTTTATAATAAAATTCTAATTCTATTCAATCGTGGGACTCATCATAACGATTGAAAACAATGTTTTTGTTTGAGTTTGGCTTTGACCAATTCGTAAAAAAAAAACTAAGACATGCGTGTCCATCAACCTAAACAATAATCTAACGATCTCTACTGATTGTACGAATCGAAAAATCGGATAATTCTTTAGCTTTAGGGAAAGATAATTCCACGTACTTCAGGGCCGTTTTTACAATTCTTTTTGCAATTTGTTACAAGGCATATCAATAAGGCATTGGTTCTATTTGAAATTAATTCAATATTTAAAAGAAAGTATTAAGAAATAATTTAAAAATGCCGACGTAAGAAATCTGATAGACAAAAAACAACAATATTTCGAAGATGATAATTATTAAGGAAAGAACTTGTAATAAATTAATAAACCCAAATAAAGTTAATATTTTTTTTTTATTAGAAAACAACGAGGGAAAATATATTAAAATCAGAATTCTAATTATGAATCATCACAAGCAAAATATGCAATTTTTTTTACTGTATTCAATAAGTAAAAATCATAAATTGTAAAAGATTACAGAGAAAGGCTACCTACATTTTTCAACCGATTTCAACAAAACTTCACTTTTTTTTGGCAGGTAGTGTTTCTTATTGTCTTGCACATTTTTTTCTTTATTTTTACATTCAGAATGCTTTAAAAATTCCATTTACAAGACAATTGTTTATAATAAAATTCTATTCATCAATCGATAGACTCATAGTCATAACGATTGTAAACAATGTTTTTGTTTGAGTTTGGGTTTGACCAATTCGTAAAAAAAAAAAAAAAAAAAACTAATTAAGACATGCGTGTCCGTCAACCTTAAACAATAATCTAACGATCTCTACTGATTGTACGAATACAAACATCGGAATAAATTCTTTATCTTTAGGGAAAGATAATGAAATCTAAACATACACAAGTCCTAACTAAAAATAATAACCGGAACGGGAAACTACTTTAAATACACATGGTGTCCAATTTTTTTACTGTATTCAATAAGTAAAAATCATAAATTGTAAAAAAGATTATTATTACAGAAAGGCTACTAAATGAATAAGATTTGTTAGATCATAATTAATAAACCAAAATAAAGTTAATATTTTTTGTATTAGAAACAACGAGTGGAAAATATATTCAAATCAGAATTCTAATTATGAATCACCACAAGCAAAATATGCAATATTTTTACTGTATTCAATAAGTAAAAATCATAAATTGTAAAACTAAAAGATTACAGAAAGGCTACCTACATTTTTCAACCGATTTCAAAAAAACTCACTTTTTTTTTGGCATGTCGTGTTTCTTATTGTCTTGCACACTTTTTTCTTTATTTTTACATTCAGAATGCTTTAAAAATTCCATTTACAAGACAATTGTTTATAATAAAATTCTATTCATCAATCGATAGACTCATAACGATTGAAAACAATGTTTTTGTTTGAGTTTGACCAATTCGTAAAAAAACCCCAAAAAAACACTAATTAAGACATGTGTGTCCGTCAACCTTAAACAATAATCTTTGTCAATTTTATTTTTCAGTCTTTATGATGGTGGAGGTGGATACTTGATCTATCTCTTACTGTTATATCCCAGGTAACGCCGGGCTCTACTAGTATATATATATATATATATATATATATATATATATATATATATATATATATATATATATATATAGTTAAACCTAAAAGAGCCAGACAAAGATACCAAGGATCGTAAGGGAAATTTGGTATTGGTTTGATTATTTGCAAATGAAGGTTTTCCGGACGGGTATAATTTCTTATAGTTATTAATAGTATATATATATATATATATATATATATATATATATATATATATATATATTATATATATATCTATGTTAGCTGATATTGATATTGAGCGCTTTCTAATAAGTACCATGCATATAATATATAAATAATTATATATATATATTTATATTTATATATACACACTTCCCCCCATATATATATATATATATATATATATATATATATATATATATATATATATATATATGATGTAACCATGGTCGATTTATTAGGAAGGTAACTTCTTGATGTCATCGATGTGGGAGAGGCGATATCAGTATTCAGTACCTTTGTGGCACTCTGTGAAAGTGCCTGAAAACCATATCATTGGTTAACCCAAACCTTGTGAGTGAAATTCGGTAGACGGAACACTTTGCGAGTCGTTGATGGTTTTGCCTAGTACGAAGTCGCAAGTCATCGTGATCGAAGATGTGAGCGTGATGGCCTTGTTCAGACTGCTGATCATGTTAACACGCTCTCTCCCAGAAACTGCAACCAAGATGCTCTCTTTATAGTTGCAGTATAAACCACAGGTGGACTCAGTAGGTGTTGAACAAACACAAATGTGCCTGTGCAGGCGTCTGCAACAGGGATTGGCTAGCGGCCCAAGTAGATGGGCATCATCGAATCAAAATCTTTGACATACACCTATCACAAGGTCTGTATTGATATTAGACATTACTCGGGTAATGGTGGCTTTTAGTGAATTACTCGTATTGTGACAACGTTGATTAGTCCCGCATTCAATAACGAATCACATAAAAATCAAAGGGATTTAGGTTTTTCGAGTAAGGTTGGTACATGTTTGGTGTAATGTGATTGTGAAATCCTGGGTCACCAATGTTGTGTGAGCAGATGCAGTGACCTGCTGAAACACATAAGGCCTTCCATCGTATACAAGGTCTGACGAGGACTTCACAACTGTTTCCAGCACCTCAGTGTAGCTAGCAGTATTTGATTAATGATCCTGTTGAAAGAAGTGGTGTAGCAGGAAGAGTTCTTAACTATCTTCCACCCTTAAAACCATTACAGAAACGGGAAAGTTGGGGTCTATATCATGGGGAACATCAGAAAGGTCCTCACATTACCTTTTGTTGACTTTTTGATCTCGTTTTTCATCGCATACCAACAGGCACACAATTACATGTCGTAAAATACCATATGCCTCCTGTAGATTTCTCTGTGCCTTATACGGTGAAACTGAAAGAGAATGGAGTGATAAATAAATATATCGAGAGATGTGTAAATCACAGAACAAGAAAGGGAAGTTTGTGTATTTTGGAACATTGGGAAAGATTTTAAAAATTCTTACAACGAATCTGGAAGAACGAAAGCTAATTAGGAGGAACGGAGACGATTTGAGAACGATACTTTTGTGTTCTGTGAGAATATTGGGAAGAATTCTATATATTTTAAGAGTTACCGTCACTTGATGCTCATCTCTTCACCTGTTTCCGGATATGCGCAATTAGCACTCACCACGAATTCCTATCCTTTGTCGTTCTTAGTAAAGTTTGTCTTTTCACTATTTATCATAACCCCTTGTTACGTAGGTTACTCGCTGTTTGCCTCTACCCCTTGCTTTCAATATGTTCTGTGAGGGTCAAATGCGCCAATCTCTCTTTCCGGCGCGTGTGTCCTAAAAATTTCAACTGCTTCCTTCTGATTCTAGATATATGCGTCCTTTTTGTTTCCATTTTCGTTAAAACTTCCTTGTTACTCACATGTCCAATCTATGTTATTCTCTGCAGCTTTCTGTAGAACGATATCCTCGTCTCTTCGTCTTTGAGGAGATTGTCTATCATTCATTGCCACAAAAGAGGACTTATATTACTTAACAGTTCAATATTCTTCTTTCTTTCTAATAACATTTTTCTGTTTCTTAATGATTTGCTTAACTTTTGTTAGACATCTTTTGCTATGAGCACAAATACATATACAAAAATTACGATACCGATGTTGTTACTGTTGATAAAATCACAACCTTAACTGCAAATTGCCACACCGGTTATAATAACGCCTACAATCGATAATAATTAAAAAGAAAAGAAAAGAAAAAGTTAACTGTATGTGCAGCCAAAATTTATTTAAAAATATTCAGATTGAAATTTAATGGAATCGCTTTTGGCATTCATAGTAACAAGTAAGTTCTGGAGAATTCTTTCCCGTATAGCTTTTATTAGCGTCGGTGAATTTCTGAATAGAATATAAATTGGAATAGTAATCTTTCTTTTTCTCTTCAATATCTTCGAGTTTTTCTCTGTTGAGATCTTTGTAATTTAACGCTAAATTCATACCTACTAAATTAAATTCTAGTTTTGTGGAAGGTCTGAAGATTAAAAAATGCTTTGCTTTAATCACTCGAAGATAACTTGTAACTTTTGAGAAGCATATTAATAACTGATTTTTTTCATACTTCTGCCACACAGAAAACGAACGCGTATACTTCAGAAGTATTCAATGAATTCATGCTTACGATCGAAAAATAATATAAATTAAAATACGCAAATCAAAATTAATAATGACAAAAATGACTATAAAAATGACACAAATTAAAATTAAAAAAATGATATAAAATAAATATTTCTTTTTATTATTCTATGTACTGTGTCCCTTCAGGACGTTGTCGATAATGGCTTTCCACGATTTCCTCTTATTTGCAGCTGTTAATAAATTTTGTCTTTTTGTTATCTCTCCTAAACCCTGTTCCGTCATTCATTTATTCAAGCTCACTAGGTAAGTTATGCATTATTTTCCCCCTCCTTCTTCTTGCCTTCATTATGTCCTATGAGTATCAAATTTTCCAAACCCACTTTCCTCATTATATGCTCTAGTTATTTGAACAGCCTTTTTTCTGATGTTAAGCATAAGTGTCCTCTTTGTTTCATTTGTGTCCGTATAATTCTTTTTTTTCTGAAAAGTTTCCTCTTTGCTTATATGCCTTGTCCATAGTTTTCGTTGGTAGAACCGCATTTCTGTGGTTTTTCTCATTTGCGAAGACATCCTTAAGCATTCCCTGACATATAGAATATTAAATACTACATATTAAATACTACATAGTTCAACTTACTTTTCTTTGTTTCTAACGAAATTTCCCAATCTCGTTGTACTTTGCTTAGGGTCAGGAAAGTGTTAAAAAATCTGTTGAATTGATAAATAAAAAAATCAATTATCTTAGAAAATTACTTTGTTTACGCTTGGATACGAAACTGGGAAGATATGAAAAAGCTTCAAAGAATTTAATACGAGAAAGATTTCACTTAAAGAACCGTTTCAAATATTACTTGATCGGCGATGCTGTTTCGTGGCCGAGACGGTTAAGGCTTCTCGGATCTAACAACGGTTTGCTTCTGCCTAGAATGACAAAAGTTTGAATCCTGCCGAAGAGTAAATTTATCTTTTTAATAAGATTTATCGAAAATTCAGGCTGGTAGACGAAAAAAAAAATACTGTTTAATAAATAAATGGAATGTCTATTCAAATATGAATATCCAATAAAAATAACGTTTAAAATGATAAAAATAATCAGATTATGTACATAGATGGTAGAGCTGGGATGAGACAAACATTTCTAAGAGCTAAAAAGGATTAGTAAGTTTTGGAAAGCCATGATCGCTAACACCCTGAAGGGATACGGCAAATACATAATGAAAATCGAATGCGGAAGACATTAGAGAAAGGTCGAAAGTTACAGTGGCTTAAGCGTTGTTATAAAATTCATCCGAATATGCTGTGTAATAAATAAACGGAACGTCTGCTCAAATATATATATATCCACTAAATTAACATTTAAAGTGATAGAAATCTGTCGGATTGATAAATGAAAAATCAATTACCTTAGAAAATTACTTTTTTTTACGTTTGGATACGAAACTGAGAAGATATGAAAATTTCGAGGAATTTAATACGGAGAGATTTCGTTTAAACGTATGTTTTATACTTTAGTTTTACCGGCCAGAATGTTTGAGAAATATCATAGAAAATTTGGACAGGAATCGGATCTGTATCCTATACGGAACCACCATTAAGCCTGGCGTGCTATCACCGTTCAGCCAGACGTTAGAATACAAAATCAGAGCAGTTAATGATAGATCGAGGTAAATCGGCGACCATGTCTGTTTAAAAGCAACACTTTCAGCTTTGCTTAAGTTGATGTTCTCTGTGGCTAAAAAGGTCACAGCACGCCAGGCTTAATGATGATTCCGTATAGAATACAGGTTCAGTTCCTGTCGGAGGACGCATATTTTCTACGATATTCCTCGAAAATTCAGGCCGGTAAATTAATACTGTTTAATTAAAAGAAAAGAACATTTACTCAAATAAGTGTATCCATAAAAAAACGTATAAACAGAAAATATATTAAATATTTGTTGTATTTGATGCATTTCCTTTGATATATATATATATATGTAAAGTGATATATATGTAAAATATTATATGCAACTGAACATTAATTCGTCTTCAGAGGAGAATTAAATGATTTTATATACAGATTATATATATATAAAAGATTATATATCATCTTGTGCTTCAAAGGCAACCTGAAAGTAATCCTAAAATTGTATGGTATTAATCCTGTGGAACTGGAAGATAGAGCAGCTAATTGCAACAGGTTGAGTACACTATGCTGTTAGTCCATTGAAAGATTGGTAATTAGCAGAACTCAAGACCAGGAATTTTGCCGGCACCATAGTCATGATCGCCTTGGGTTTTAGCCACGACCAGGTGTCTGCATTCAGTGTCCAACCTGTGTACGGAAATGTGTGTCACAGTTTGGTCTTCGTTGCCATCAGCGTCAACATAATGTCACCAACCAATGCTTTCTTCAATTCTTATCCTTCTCATTTGGTGGAGCCTTCTCATTTCGTCATCGGACTTCATAAGAAGAGCAGACGTCACAGAATGTCTCATATCGAATATTCGTCTGTCATCGAAAAATTAATTATTTTACTTCATAAGAAGACCAGACCAGAAACACGTGTCGTGAAATTAATATATATATATATATATATATATATATATATATATATATATATATATATATATATATATATATTATTATTATATGCGGTGCCTATGGACACTAATGGGTATGTCTCAATCCTCATAAATACGTTGGACACTATTGGAAGTGAGGGTTAATATGCTAAGTAGTCCACCACTATCAGTGGTTTACCTGCTTCACGCCGCTGGCGAGTATTGTATTTTGTTGATACTATAAAGATTACCACTTTCATTTCCAACCTCAGTTTTTGTTATCCTCATTCAGTAATCTTTCCTAGGTTACAGCAATATATATATATATATATATATATATATGTATGTATGTGTGTGTGTGTGTGTGTGTGTGTGTGTGTGTGCTCTATGCCGTACATATGAACGCTAATGTGTATGTCTCAATACTCATAAATACGTTGGATTCTATTATAAGTGATGTAGGGGGGGTAATATGTCATCCACCACTGGCAGTGTTTTACCTATTTCACGCTGCTGGTGAGTATTTTATGTTGTTCATGTTATAAAGGTTACCATTTCATTTCCAACGCCCATTTTGGTTATTCCTCATTCAATTACTAGGTTACAACAGATAGATAGATAGATAGATAGATAGATAGATATAGAGAGTTAAGTAATGAAGAGATAGATAGATAGATAGATAGATAGATAGATAGATAGATAGATAGTGTTATATACCGTACCTATGAACACTTATGGATATGTCCCAATAAATACATTGAACACTATTGTAAGTGGGAGGGTAATATGCTGTCAAAGTAGTCTACCACTAGCAGTGGTTTACCTACCTCACGCCGCTGGCGAGTATTGTATTTTGTTGATGTTATAAGAATTACCACTTTCATTTCCAACCTCCGTTTTGGTTGTTCCTCATTCAGTAACATTTCCTAGGTTACAACAGTCATACATCAAAACTACAATTATGAAATCTAATTTAGGATAGAAATATTTTTACTGAAATATGTCAGAAAATATGTAGATTTTCAATGGGAATCAAGAGAATAGGATCTTTAAGCAAAATTGTCAAAATACATGGAAAAAATAAGGCGTCAGTTTAAAGTGACACCGGAAAGATGAGCTAAACCTCCGTATATATTGAGTTATATTGAACTCAACTTTGTCATTTATCAGTTCGTCGTCAAAGGAGAATAAATTAAAAGAGAATTCTTAAGGACACCGTACCCAATTCTTATTGGGATGGATTTTCTTAATCATTTTTTTAATAAGATTATTAAACATATGAGTTGTTTTTCAAACTTAATTATAAAAGATTAGTGCTAAAATCTGATCGAGATGTGTTAAAAGTTGCCTCTACCGACAGTTCTTCGGGGGTCAAAAGTTTAAACCACTTCAACGTTAATGGAATTAATTTTATAAGTTCAGCGAGATTGTCATTTTTCTCGTTGGAAAACAGATAGAAAAAGGAGATCATTTCTAATCAATAACTAATGATTTGTCACGCCAATACATCTTAGAAAATCAATTTTCATTATTATAATATTGCGTAATCTATAACTTTTCGATCGCCGTTTATGGTAATATATGTTTCAGATATAGTTCGTATTAAATTATTTGTAGTTAAAATTGTTTACAATGCTGTCTTGACTATTGGACAGGAAATGACTGATAAAATACATGCAAATAATAGTAGAATATTTTAATTTTTTATGTATTGACATGTTTCAGTTTGGGTACTACCTAAAATGTTTATGCAGCTCCTATGGTTTGACGCAAGACAAGCAATAATTCCGAATGATTAGCTTCAACAACTGTCTGTATTGGATTATCTCTAAGCCGCAGAATCTATGTACTATTAATCTTCTTAATGTTCCTGTCTTGGTAAGATAAAATTTGCATTCGAATTTCTAGATTTGGTTGTTTATATGTTTTCTTGTTCTTCGTAAATGACCTGCTTCGTTGCAACAACTTTAGAGGCAATGATGTGATACTATTTGTCGTTGCCGTGAATTGAGAATTTAATTCACGCATAAACGACTTGAATTGTATGTCGTGCAGTTTGAACAATGGAAAAGTGACCCAGACTTAGGTGGGGGGGCAATGTTGATTGACGACACAGCTGCAAATGCGGCCTGGAAAGCTAAAAGTAGATTTTTGTAAACTGAATTTGAAACTAAGCTTTTCTGGACGGAAAATGGTCGAAGTAGCAGGCGCAGATAAGACATCAAGTAGGATGGAGGACCCCCCCCCCACCACGCTCACTGAAGAGGTCGGTGAGAGAGGATAATAAAAGAGAGGGTGGGGAGTGGGAATTCTACAAAATTATGACGTAAGTCGGAGGGGATTCACCGAAATGCTCCTACCTCACCATACCCCCCCATGTCAGTTTAGGCGAATGCCCATAAATCCTAAATGTATATTTTACGAAATTATTATACACAAGACAACAGGAAACTACCCCAGTATATTTACAAGAAATGGCAATTCACAAGTTAATAAAAAAAAAGCGTCTATTTTCTTGTTCTTCGTAATGCCCCGCTTCTAATTTCAACAGAATGTTTATATGGCGAATAAAATTTGGCATTGATATTCAGAGGACTTAAAACGATTACTTGGTTACTTATTATCGTGCATCATTTTACTTACAATTATTGTAAAGTGATGAAGACAATAGTCAGATCACTGTTTAGACAAATTAGACGTAAATAATCAGCAATGCCATTTATAGACATTTGTAACTTATATAATTGCCAACTCTATTTACATTTGTACCATCGGTTAAATATTCGTTCTAAGTAACGTGGTTTATTGAAATATTTTCTGCGTAATTTGTTGCAATAAAATTTGTTGTAACAACTTTAAAGACAATATAAGATTTAATACAAAACAAAATGATAACAGCCTAAAAATCGAAGTCGGAATTTACAGTATAGACTGTAGAAATAACTACATAGGTGAAAAATCTAGAAATTTAAACAAAAGAATATATGAACACAAAAGCATCTTTTACGAAATTATTATAGACTGAATTGTTGCACTGGTGTCCTTAATAGTCGACGTGTGCATAGCGTAGCGGTTACGGCTGCGGAAAAAAGTGGACTCGGTACGTTGAGTTTAAATTCTGGCCGAATACATTGCGTTCGATTACACACAAATACACTTGGACAGACTCAGTTTCTTTATCTATTACTGATATTATTGCCAACTGTATTTGCATTTGCATAAGCAACGAAATATTCATTTTAAGCCGTTAATTGAAATAATTTGTTGCGATAAAATTTGTTGCAACAAATTCAAAGACAATAAAAGATTTAGTACAAAACAAAATCTATGTGCCGCGTCGCTTCAGGTCGTTGGCGATTATGACTCTCCAAAACTTCCAGTCCTTTCTAGTTCTTAATAATATTTTCTTTTTGTTATCTCTCCGAAAAATGCACTGCCATCCATTTATTCAAGCTCGCTAGGTAGGTTATGCGTTGTTTTCCTCTATCCCTACCTGCCTCCATTTTAATCCTGTGAGTATCAAATTTTACCAAACCCTCTTTCCACATTATGTGACCTAGGAATTTCAACTCTCTCTTGCTGATGTGTCCTTTTTGTTTCCATTTGCTCTAAATACTTAATCGTGACTCGCATGTTCGGTTGCATGGTATTCTCAGCATCCTTCTGTAGAATCACATTCTTCTTGATTAGTGAGGCATTTTTTCTGCATTCATTGACATATAGGAGGACTCAAATTACATAACAGTTCGGTGATTTGTTTTCTTTGTTTCTAAGGAATTTTTCCTGTTTCTTAATACTTTGCTTAGCTTTCGCTATCTCATTGCCCCTCCAGATTTCAGTGTCGCACTTTCCGTCCTATGTTAAAACAATTCCAAGATATTTAAATGTTTTTAATTGTTTGATTTTGTTATCTCCAATTTGTAATTTGCATTTTGGGTTCACCCTTTTGCTAAGGATCATACATTAAATAAAAAAAATACTTGTCTTAAAAACATTCCATATTTATGCGTAATTTCTAAAATAAAAGAACCATGGATTCTCAAAATGCGAGACAAAAATGTGTCCCATATCAGTTAATGCGGGATAAGTCCTTCAGCATCAAAGTTTGGAACAATCCAAAGGTGTTAACCCAACCTATGTGAGGAGATTGTCTAGTATTCACTGCCATATAGGAAAACTGATATTACATAACAGTTCAGTACTCTTTTCTTTCTTACATCTCAATATTTCTTGATACTTTGCTTTGATTTTGTTAGGCAATATACTGATACATCGAAGAAACAATTATTTAAGTCTGAAGTGGACTCAGCTCTAGGCAAATTTACCAGAAACAAAGCTGTGGGAACCAGAAAGAATTATAATGGAAATTCTGTCTGCCTTGGATGATTTCGGCATTGATTTTCAATATAGACTTTAGAATACAGAGAAGATACATCTACAAATTTAATGGCAATCGTAGTGTTAAGAGGTTTCTCATGTCTAGTAGCAGTTAAATGGTCTTTTTAGTATTGATGAGAGCGTTCACACCAACACGTATCTATCTATCTATCTATCTATCTATCTATCTATCTATCTATCTATATATATATATATATATGTGAAAAAGTGAAAATAAAACTTATCATGTGAAACGTATCGTCATGACAATATTGATAAAAGCATAAACAAAAAGATGTAAATAAATGATATCGGTTAGACTATATGCTCAAACACTTCAATATAAATTTTTTTTTTTAACAGTCCGCTCTCCTTCATGCGCATGTGTAATCAGATCATTTTAGTCCGATGGAGTCCTAAAGGTCGAAACCCGTCACACAAATTTTTTTTTCAATTTGTCAGAGATTTTTCTAAAATTGCTCTGATATATACAAATTTATATATCGTTTTTCTCTCTCTCTCTATATATATATATATATATATATATATATATATATATATATATATATATATATATATAATTGTGTATTTAAGCAGCAACTTCTCTTGTAGGCATGTCTGATTGAATAAATTGTAAACATTATATCTACTTATTTTTATCATAATCTTTTCATATTCACGAACATTTTTCCGTAAATTACAATTAAATAAGCCAAGAAATGCACTGTGACAGTGAGAATCAATTTTATTTCCCAAGTACTTTCCATCTCTTTCTGAGATCATCATCAGCGGTGCAGCTGGCAAGGCAAAAACTATGTGTAGCTATCCATTAGTGAATCTTTTTTCTTTTGCATTTAAATGCAACGGTTAACAGTTATGATTTATTAAGCTTATTCGTTATGGAATTTTTTCCTTTTATGTGGAATGTCATGGTCGAGCGTACATTAAAGCGTAAAAACTGATTTTTACAGCTATTTTAGAACATCATTACAGTATTTGTAGCTGAAAGTTTTATAACGAAAAATTCCATAATCGATAAAAGACATGTAAATATTCTCAGATGATGTATATTTATAGCAGAAAATGATTGAAAAGACAAGAGGAAAACTATACTTATCTTTTTATCATCATCCTTCGACCTCCCTATGGTTGACAATCTCTTTCCACACTGTTCGGCCCTGTATTTCTCTCCCCGGACACCCCAATGTCCTACCTTGAGTCCCGATCTATGGTGTCTGGGAAAGTAAATTTTCGTGAGAAGACACCTCCAGAAGAATGCCATAGGAGTAAGGATGAAACGATTTTTCCTTGTCCGCTCGACGGCAGTAGCTGGTAAACTGTAATCGTTTTTGTTTGAGCTTATGAAAGATTGGTCTCTGTGAATGGTATTAATCGTTCCATGGGATCTCCAACTGATGTACTGGAATTTTCAAAGTTGATTTGTATATGTTCCTTCCAGTCGTCTTTCAAGAAGAAGCAAATAATGTCCACGTTTCTGATCCATACAGTAGGATTGGTTCAATCAATGTTCGAAAGGAGGATGTAAGGTTCGAACACCAAATTTTGTGAAGTTTGTTACACGAATCCCATTCAAGAGCTTATCGGGTGTTGATGTCTTTATTCTCAACTCTTTTGATGGATGTAATATTGAGTGACTTCATTTCGGATGGTTCAGGAGAGATTGTGATATATTCTCCCTTACTCAGGTTACAATAGAGACCTACCTAGCTCGCTGTTTTCTCAAGTGATTGCGGAAAGTATTCTGCATCCTTGATACATTGGGAAATTAATGCACGATCATCGGTAAAGTCAAGGTCAGTCAGGTATTGTGGAGGGTATCGGCTACTCTGGCGAAATTTCAAAAGGAGTCCTTTTTCTTCCATGTTATCGAGAACGAATATAAACAGAAAAGGAGCAAGTCTGTCACCCTGTAGAACTCTCACTGTAACTTCAAAGAAATCAGTCTCACCATCAGGCGATACAATGGCGGCAGTGGTGTTTCTGTACAGAGCTCTAATTGCCTTAACGATTTTGGAGGGTATACCATAGAGTTGGAGGATTTTGAACATGAGATCTCTGCCGGCGGAATAAAAC